GATGGGAGGGAAAGAGAGAGAAAAGGGGAATTGCATGGAAATGGAAAGAGACCCTCATTGTTATAAAAAAAACTACATAAAAGAGGTTGTGAGGGGAATTGGAAGAAAAATAAGGAGAGAAATGAATTACAGTAGATGGGATAGAAAGAGAAGATGGGGGGGATGGGGATAGTAGAGGATAGGAAAGGTAGCAGAATACATCAGTCACTAGTATGGCATTATGTAAAAATGTGAATGTGTAACCTATGTGATTCTGCAATCTGTATTTGGGGTAAAAATGGGAGTTCATAACTCACTTAAAACTATTGTTCGAAGTATGATATGTCAAGAGCTTTGTAATGTTGTGAACAACCAATAAAAAAAAAATTGTGTAGATAAAAGCTTCTCCTTCTCCTCCCCCCTCCCCCCTCATAACTAATGCCTTTAAATTCCTCTACTGTTATTCTGACACATGCTCTTATATCACATATGTGCATTTCCAAAATACCATTTACTCATCTCATTGATTTTAAAAAACATACATCAATGCTATCACAGCTACATATATATGTATTATATATGTGTATATATGTATCCACACATTTTTATGTATTTACTTCTACAACTCAGATTATCACCATATTCTGAGACTTAAGTACTGTATGATATTACGTGTTATTAAGTCCCATTTATTAATCCAAATATCTACATATGGCCCACTAAGAAGATCCTAACATTTTTAAATTATAAACACTGAAAAATGTGTATGTCTCATTATGCTCATGTGAAAATAGCAGTAATTATCAAGTATGAAATCTTAAGGAAAACCTAAAACCAGAAAATAAACAAATTTAAATACTAAACAGAGAAATGCTCTTAATGGCATTCAGTCTAAATGTTTATAACAAAGGAAGAACTGCTTCTATCTCATGTGCCTCTTTCTTCTTTCATATTTTAAGAAACCAACATCTCTCATAAAGTAAACATGTCTAAGTCACGGGTACAAGTGCTTTCAGTGTCTTTATTATAATTTGCTTTTTATTCTGCTCCATGAGTTTGAAGTAGACAGTGGGAAGGTAAGAAATAATACATGGTGCCTCTTCATTCTTCATTGATTTTTTTAAATTCTAGTGTATGGAAAGGTTCCAGATATTTATATACAGTAAAAAGGTGGGCAATTAAAAAAAATAGATTTTATAAAAGTGACCAGAAAAGCTACAAACAAAAAAAGTAAGAGATGTCACTACACTATTGTTTTCAAACTGAAGCTGGAAAAATGTCAACCTCAGATGATGAAAGAGAGGTTTATCCATAACCCATAACCATGCAGTCAGTCCACCTCAAGAGATCCTAGTTGCTTATCCTCTGATTTCTTTGAGTCAAGACTTTTGGGCTTAGAGGGCTAGATTCTTCCTAAAGTATAACCCAATCCCTAGATGAAATTGAAACACTGGATATAATGTGACAAGAAAAAAGAAAAGCATCATATGATCTTCATCAAACTTCCAAAATATTTTTAAAAGGTAGGGCTAAGAAAAAGGCTCTGAATTTCTTCTCATAAATAAAACCACTTAAATTAAAAATACACTGTAAAATGGGAAAAAGATTAGAGTATTCATTTCTCTAACGAATATAAGCAAACAGACAATAAGTATATGAAGATGTTCAACATCTTAAGTCATCAAAAAAACACAAAGCTAAAAGGAGATACCACTTTACACACATTAAGATGACCATAGTCAAAAGGAAACATGGAAAGTTAACAAGTGTTGGAGAAATTAGAACCTTCATACATTGCTAATAGGAATGAAAAATGGGACAGTCACTTTGGAAAACAGTTTAACAATCCCTCAAAAAGTTAAACACAGAATTACCATATGGCCAAACAGTTCTATGTAGGTATATACTCAGGAGATTTGAAAACATATGTCCACACAAAAACTTGTAAATGAATATTCATTATCAGCATTACTCATGATCATCAAAAAGTAGAAACAAGTCCAACAGCCAAACTTACAAATGAAAAAACAAAACGTGACATATTTATACAATGGAATATTATTCAGTTTTAAGAACAAATAAGTACTGATATATCCTACAACATGGATAAACCCTGACAACATATTAAGTGAAAGAAACCAGACACAAAAGGCCACATATTTATAGTTCCATTTATATAAAATGTCCAGAAGAGGAAAGCCTATAAAGAAAAGAAACAGATTAATGGATACCAGTAACTGGAAGACAGAATGAGAAATGAATGTTAATGGGTACAGTGTTTCTTTATGGGGTGATAAAAATGTTCTGAAATTAGTGGTGATGGTTGCACAACTCTGTGAATATACCAAAAACCACCATGCGGTGAACTTTAAAAGGGTGAGTTTTATGGTAAGTAAATTATATCATAGGTTTTTTTTTTTAAACAAGAAAAAAAAAGAAAGCCAAAAGTTTAAGGGAAATTCAGTTTGAAATGAGAACAAGAAAAAAAAAATAGATCAGTCTATTAATATAAATGCAAATATCAATGTATTTCAACAAATTCTTATTTGATGAGAGATATATGAACAACTCAGTGTTGTAACCACTCTGAAAGATGGTAATTATTCTAGCAAACATTATTTTTGAGGCAGAAATGTTTAGTAGAGCCAATGGAGAGAAAGATCTAGATCAAAAATCTGATTTTAACACTGTAACTATGTGAGATCTTGGATTAGCTACTCAAATTCTCCATGACTTGGTTTCCTTCTCTGTAAAGTAGGGTTAGCGGTACTTACTTCTAAAAAGTTTTTAAAGTCATTTTTACAAATCTTAAACAAAATAACATACATATCAGCATACTGTCAAGTAAGCACTTGAACGCTGAACTGTGGAGAAACGTTACTGTCTAATACGTCACAAGAATACCAATAATAAAGAAACCCCAACTAATTGGGTCAAAGGTTTACAGAAATATGGTGCCACAGAAATGTGGTACATAAAGAGATAGGGTATGAAAAATAAAATCCATCTTGTCATTCTTAGGACAGTGTTAATATAAATTAATTAAAAGTAATTATCTCTTCAGCAGAAAGCAATCTTCATTGATTTCAAAGTGAGCCTTGCATATAAAAAGCCAGTGGGACACTGTTCCAGTGGCAGGTACTGCACAGAGTGGCTTATCTTTGATTCTCATCTTTTACTGAGCATCAGAATCATTCAAAGGACTGCTAAATATGCATGTCTGTAGGTTGCACACCAGAGGTACTGATGCTCTGGATCTGGGTAGATTCTGAAAATCTCTTTTCTGACTTGCTCTTGGGTAATAATGCCAATGCCATCCCAAGAACCACATTTTATGGAGCACTGGCTTGAATAAGATGAAACTGTATTTGCTTAATTCCTTTTTTTTTTTTTTCAAGTGAATTTTCTCACTTCAGGGCATGTAAAAACTATAATACCTTTGGAAGAAAAATAACAAACAGTATGATTAAAAATACTAGAATTTATTAGGTATTTAGTTATACAGGAGACATTGTTCTGAATACTTTAAAAATTTTAGAGTCATCATTTTATGTAATCCTTATAGCCACCTTATGAGGTAAACAGTCTTATCTCCCCATTTTATAAATGAGAAACGTAGCCCTAGAGAAGCTGGACAATTTATTCAATATTATATAGTCAGTATACTCTGTCACATAGGTACTGTTGAAAACTTTCGATTCCAGTAGAATTCATTATGTCTCTAGTTGAAATTACTGTATATGTGTGTAGGTATTACCTAAAGATAACTTGAGATTATTCTTTGTAAGCCTCAAAAATTCTAGAAGTATGAAATGAGAAAAGGAGCATTTCACTGAAAAACCATAATTCCTCTTTCCTATTTTACCAAAACATATCAATCTTGTGCAACATGGTAATCACTCTTCTATTAAAAAGGAATACTTGATGAATTTCATATAATTTTACTTCATATCACTGAAATTATCTTTTCATAGTTACCTCTACCATGATTAAGAGTAATGATAGCCAAAATTCTAGGAAGACAAGTTTAATTTATTTTAAAATCATCAAGTCATAGAAGTGTTTACAAGTCAACATCATTTTAAACATTTGGTGAAAGGAGGATCTTCTGAGAGATTAATGGGTAAAGATTACATACCTTGTTTTTAAAATAAACCTCAATTGGCAAAATGAAACCAGCATACCCAGATTCTTCTACTTTGTAAGGTGGATCTTTGCACACTGCAACATTAAAAAAGAGAATAGGAAAGATGAGAATAATAGACAAAAGACATTCTTCTTTCAAAAAAAAAAAATAAAAAGAAAGAAAGAAATCCCATTCTATATCTAGATCACCCCCAGTTTTCATAACTCCTTATCAGTCCCATGGTTGACTGTCTTTTGTAGTCTTTATTTCTTCTCTAGCATCTGCAACAATAATTTTTCCTATCTTGAGCAAACATGTAAGTGATTGAGATCTTGGTGGAGCATAGCTCATCAAGCAACTATGATCATTAATGAGTGGACTTTAGTTGTTATCACCTGTTTAATTTAGGTAAATTAAAGATAGCTCGTATGGCTCAAAGCTTGAAAATAATGACAAATTTCCTAACAAAAGCCCTATATCTGGGCTTAGATACAAATCACTCTCTACCTAAACTGCTCACTTGTTTGAGATACCCTGATGTCTATGCCAGCCTCCTTCCTTAAGAAATCGCCAACCCACAGTCCATCATCTTTATTGATGCCCATTAAAATTCATTACCCGCACCCTCCAAAAAAGGAAAGTATTGAAATACTGGTAAACATACAAACACTTAAAATCTAATCACGTCACAAGAATATATAACAAACAATAAGGCATCTGCATTTCTATGGAGTTAGAAGGAAGCAAAACTATTAGGTAAGCTCTTGGGGAATGAGAGAGATCCTAGGAAGCTAAGATTTCATCCCACTAAAATTTTCATTCAACCAAAATCAATCAGAAGCCAATTTTAATTATCCAGGTTAAGACTACAGTTTTGTTATTCAGGTTAGGACTACACTTTTGTAGTTTCACAAAGTAAAAACCATATATATATTCAGTAAAACTAAAAAACAAGGCCATAGACTCTGGTATGTCAAGTCCTCTGTAGCCGCCCCAGGCTTACCTTCCCAGGCTTCTCTTTGTCATCTCCCACCTGTTCCCAGTCCTCCTTCTGTTCCTTCCACTACACCTTGAAATACTCAGTATTCTTTGTGCAATTCAAATCCCAATTTCTTCATAAGGACCTTCTAGTACTACCATCCCTTCTCCTTTTACCTCACCCCCCTCCACCAGAGCATTAACTGAATCACTCAGCAGAGCTTCTTATGACCATAGAGTCAAGACTCTCACCTGCTAACTTCCATTCCCTCCCTCAAGGACAGAAAAAAAATGTTTATCTCAGGAAGATAGTATGTCAAGAGCTCTGACTGCCAATCTGTGATCCACCTCAAACTCCAAGCTACCTCTGCAAAGTTTCCTCTTCCTGACACTATGAAGATTAAGCAGACTGGCATGTGGCAGTTATAAAGTGGATGTTCGTGTCCTCTCAAAATTCATAAGTTGACCCCTTGACCTTTGATGGAAACAATATTGGAGATGGGGCCTATAGGTGGTGATGAGGTAATTAGGGTAGAGCCCTTTTGAAAGGGTTTAGTCCCCTTAAAAAGAGACCCCAAAGAGCTCTCTGGCCTCTTCCACTACATGAGAAGGAAAAAGACAGGAGTCTGTAGCCCTGAGGAGGATCCTCGCTAGAACCCAACAATGCTGGCACCCTGATCTCAGACTTCCAGTCACCACGATTGTGAGAAATCAGTTTCTGTTGTTTATAAGCCACCCAATCTATGATACTTTGTCTAGCAGCCCAATAGGACTTTGTGATATGCATAAAAGACATAGCACAGAGCCTGGCACAGTGAACTTCTCAATCAGTGACTCATGTGAGAGAGGAAATCTATCCCTAAAACATGCAGTCACCATGAAACCTTGAAAATCTAAAGGAGAAGGCAAGTAGAGGAACTGGATTTAGATAAGAATACTCAGTCTCTGGCCCTCAACAGATAAGTCTCCAGACAGCTTCCAATGCTTTTCCCTTTAACAAGGAGATAACACCATCCTCCACCTGCAAGCATGGGTAGAATACGCAAGGAGACTCTATGGAGAGTACTACAAACATGGTATTTTTATTACAAAAAGGGACATTGATAATGTACAATGAAAATGGTTTAGACATGCTCCAAGTATCCATCCGGTTACAAGAGGTGCACGGAAGGCAAGATTTTGATGTCTGACCAACCTTAGGAAATTTTCCCCTGACTGATATCAGAAGTAATTCAGGAAGAAGCCATTCTGCTTTAACCTGATAGGTTGATCTAATAACCTATTGGAGTAACTGTCAGTCTTATATCCACTGACCACCTGCCAACTTGTCATGAATATTCAAATTCCCTAAGCACTTGGGGGGGGAAGATGCCCACTAAATGCACAGAGCAGCCCCACCCCACGCCAACTGAGTGGCTAGAGTTACACTCATGGCACTTCCAGACTACAGAGAACAGCAGTTTTAGTGTCCAGGTTGCTTGGGATTAATCACGCCAATGTCATCTGAAGGAAGTTTATTTTGTGGGCTGCTGCACATGCCAAAGAAGTTACAGCTATTCCTCTATACACCCTTTTGTATAATTCATTTTCTCTGTTCTGCATGCAAATTGCTCCTATTATAGGAAACAGCTGTTAGTGAGCACATCTTAGAGTTGAAGGTCTTGGATTTTTTCCACCCCCTAAAGGAAATGATCTGCTATGTATTAATACTCTATAGAGGTCTGGTTTTATAAGAAAAATGTTTACCAACTCATACCTCAATTATTTTTTAAGTACAATGTTTTCATCAATAACAATGAACAATGTATGTAAAGCACCCTGCGTTCTTAATAAGAAACAAACAGTAAAACTTTATATACAATAAACATGTCAGAAAATCAGTAACAATGTTCACATAGATTTACCGGTCTAATCTGAAGAAAGTCAAATCAGGAATTTTTTTATTTGGATATCTTATAATCAGAATCAATATGATCTGCTGAGCTAGTTCTTTCAAAAACAAAAAAGTTGTCGGGGGAGTTAAGAACTAAATGATGTTTTAGCCATTGCTTTAGACATAAAGCACTCATTTTTAAACACAGTTGTATTTGGGAAGGGCCACCTTCTTTCACACAGCAACTCTTTTCTTTCTTCATTGAGAATCCATTTTCTGTGATCACTAGCCATGTGTTAAATTTATGAGAACTAAACATACCAAACCCCTCAATTTTAATATTCTAAATCTTGACTGCTCAAGAATCAGATAATCCTCACCTGATGCTGTAGCTAAGGTGGGAGGATCACAAGTTCGAGGCCAGCCTTACAACTTAGTAAGATCCTGTCTCAAAATGAAAAGTAAAAAGGGATGGGGATATGGCTCAGTAGTAAAGAACCCCTGGGTTCAATCCAGTACCAAAATAAAATAATCACAATTAGAACAAATAAAAAATGCATTCAAAAAATCAGACTGTCCTTAATATCCATGAAATAAATGGCCAAATCTAGAGTTACTAAAGGGATACTCACATATAGAAAGACTCCTAAATTTTCAAGGGACATAAAATGGGAGGATTACTATTGATTCTTAAACCTATACCTATTTATTCCACAGAAATCACTGGCTGCTTTTCTTTCTCTGACAAAATCCAGCCAGATATTAGGTCTTTCTGAACATCACCCTTGTTCCTCCTCCAACCTTCTCCAGTTGCACTTAACAGGTAGGCAGATGACCCCGTTTACCTCCTAGCCTCCTCCATCAGACCCTGAGCCCCATGAGGAAGCAACTATATCATCTTTCACATCTGTGATTCCTGGCACTGAAAGTGAGTTAAATAATAGGTATTCAAGTGTTTGTTGAGTTTTGTTTTTTTTTTAAAGATTCATGTTCCCCTCCATTGATTTGCCATTGCCACTGACACTGCCTTCCCAATAGCAGTGATGAACTAATATCCACCAAACTCTTCTGAAAACTCCCTGTAATCAACATGAATTCGAAAACATTGGTATAAGTAATACAGAGTTGCCACAGAGGAGCTGTCTCTTGACAACTTAATACCCAAAGCGGAACTAGTTATATAACTTGCACAGTACTATGTTTTAGGCAACTGAGTTAACCATTTGGGTTGGAAGACCCCTAAGGCCATTCAGAATCTGACATTCTGGAGCCATAAGTAACAGCTCCCCTCTGCTCTCCGTCCATACTTCACCACGCATGTACTCCAAGGCTCTAACTGGGCCACATTTCTGAAACTCTCTGCCAAGTAATCATGTGCACCAGTGATCTATCAGGACATGATATCCAAAATTCATTTATTTTTGCAAAAAATAAATAATTGGACTTTACTTCCCTAAAACAGCTTTTCAAAATAGTAAACACAATATAGATCCAAAAATATATGTGGCATAATGCTAACCACATACACTGACCATTAACAATTTAGTACTGACATTTTTAAAAAAAACATACACAAGAAAAAAAAATAAGAAAAAAAAGGTCAGAATTTGGTTAACCCAAAATAAGTCAGACACTTACTTATTAATAAATAAGCATTATTTACTGGGATTTTTAATGTTCTCCTCTAGGAGAAAAATATTTGATACACAGCTATGCTTGGTACCAAAAAATAAATGCTCCTTAGATTAATAAATTAATTTGTACTGATACAATAAATTATATATACAAAAAAATAAATTTACTTAATTAATAGGGTGGATTTGGGGTACCAAATAAATAAAAGACAATTTAAACTAAAAACCTCTACCAGATCTGTAAGACCTCTTTTTAAGCTTAAGAAAGATCATTAGGCAACAAGTTTTTCCCCTAATTCTCAGGTAAACAGTTGGTAGATTCTTCTCTGGAGCATCCCTTACTTCTGTTTGCTAAGCCACTGTGATTTATGCCCATCTGAACACTTTTGTAAAGACATGGCTCACTGGCCCATTGATAATTATTGGTTTACTTTATTTATTGCATGCAGCCCTTCAGGAAGGAAACACACCAAACTCTCTCTATATATAGACTGGTTATTACCACTGCTTTGTGCCAATTGTCCCTTCCAGCTTGAGCATTTTTGGACTCCTTCCCTTCCCGCTTCAGTTCCACCACATCAGAACCCCCAGGAATAGGGAAAACAGGGTC